AATTCACGGTAAGGGCTGGGATATTTTCAGGTTGACTTGCACTTCTAGTAATTTCCCCTGGACCCTGGTTAGTGAGAACAGACGCTCGTGTGCTTTGTTGCTCACGTAAAAAATCCCTTGGCAGTTGGAAATCGAAAAGAGTAGCCTAACGGCGCTGCCTGGGCAAAATTTGGAGTTAAAAATCTACCGAAAGTATTTCAGGATCCTCGCCGGTGCTACAGAGCCTGTGCACTGTGCTGAGCTTCTTCGGACTCAGACTTGAGTTAAAAGAAGAACGAAGCACTTATGGGTTACTACCCGTGTGCCATGATGCTGATCCGCGTTGTTCAAATAAACTTCTAACAATTAAACACACACACACACACACACACACACAATTCAATAAAATTGAAGACCACAGACAGCAAGGGAGCATTTTGAAGTAAATAATGTCTAAGCTACGAATAGAGCGATTCTTTAAGGAAAGATGAGTGATTCAGTCCACTGAGCTAGATTTACTGGCAGTGACAGAAATGTCCGTTTCCAAATAGTTAGGCAGGCTGTTAAAATGTAAAGAGAGCGATTCGAAACTGTCCTATATATGGCCATACGATGTTCACAGAACGAAAGTATGTGCCATAAATATATATATTGTTGTCAATGCTGGCATAAATTAGATTGCAAGATTCGCCAGTAAATACTTCAGAAATATGGATTACATCCATCCAGTGACAATCGGAAGAGGTCTAGATAACAAACTGGCATAGGCTGCATCCAGCACTGCAGCCTTCAGCAGTGCTTACCGAAACTACTTACAACCAAGTGGGAGGACAACGGCAACACATGGACGGGCGGCAGTCTGAGATTCTACAACCAGAACAAGAGATAGGGCGTGTTGGAGATCCCTGGCAGCCAACCTTAGCCGTGGAGACGGCATCTGATCGATTGACCGACCAAAAATACTGTATGGATCGGTGAGTCTTCTCAACAACAGTCAGTCCTATTTCTAGCACCATAAGTCTATTTGTCTTATTATGTAAGCTTACCTATAGGGTTGAAAGGTCGGCTTGCGTTAGGAATTAAAAATAGATGACTATTTTTAAAACCACGTCACTGTCGTTTTGTTGCGTGCAGGGTTTTGACGTCAGGGTGAGAAGTTTCGTTAAGATAAATAACGTAACTTAACCAATTACGTTACATTCTGTGTTCTTCTCGTTTCCTCCTGACGCTCCCACACTGACGTTCATGTCTCTAACTGTCTCTTAGAAAAACGAAATGTTTTTAACACAGTGATCTTTCATAGAACGTAACAAACCAGATGCGCCTTTATCGTTCAAATACGCGTAGCTGTGTAATTTTACTTTGAGTAGTTTACCATTGTATCCTGAACGGTTCTTTGCTCGTATCGTTGCCAAAGTCAACGCACAGCGGACTGCGTCCAAATCACATGCCAGTCATTCATTGCCTCTATGCCCTAGACGCTGACCAAATATTGCTGTCTGGTAATAATATGTTGACTGCTTTACATCCCGCTCACTTCCTTTCTGCCATCGTTTATTTCCATTAGCAGTTGGTTGACGCTTTCAATAAATACATTTGATGGTCTCAGCCATTCTAAAAAAAGCTCTAATAATGGAAGGCCTTGCTACTCACATACGTCACCGCAATGGCTTCCCGTAACACAACACAACACTGTCGCCTGGAGAGAGAAATTTATTCAATTCTGGGGACAGGCGGAGTATTTTCCCGACATCTACTTTTCTGAGGTCGACACCGCCTTATAAAATATAACTACCGGAGACATTATAATAATGCTTACAAAGAAAAGGCGACATGGAAGAAAACTCATCAGCTATCCTTATATGTTTTGGTCTAAGGGGCTGCGTGGTCTGGAGGTATGGTGTCTGCCCCGGATGCTAGAGGTCACGGGTGAATGCTGGGAATTTTTCTGTTCACGTGGACTTCTAGTAATTTTCCCTGGTCTCTGGGTAGTGAGATCGGATGCCCGTATGTATTGTTGCGCACGTAAAAAATCCTTTTGGAAATCAAAAAGAGTAGCCTAACGGCGCTGTCCAGGCAAAAATCTAACCAAAGTATTTCAGGATGTTGCTGGTGCTACGGAGCGCTGAGCTACTTCAGACTCAGACTTGAGTTGGAAGTAGAACGGAGCACTTATTTGTGCCACGATGTTGATCCGTTGTTCAACCCATATGTCTTGGTCTACAATCTTTACAATATATGATCTAACACTTTACTACCTCATATTCTACGAATAAACACAAACATCAACTACCACATACGCGAGTTACTATTGGTCCACTGTACTTGTTTTTTTTTAAAGTCCACAAATAATTTTAGTGCAGACATGATACTACTGGAGTGATAGAAAGAGATAACATTAAAAATGAAAAAATAGAAGAAGACTACCACTTCCACATTTCATTCAGTGGTCTCTGGTCATGCGTTTAATCCACAGGTGGGCCGGAAAATGGGATTTCAGTTTGAGGGGTCCCTCAGGTTTTCCCCAAGAGCTTAGTTCTCAGGTACACTGTATGTGTCCACATGTTGTTTCACAACTCTTCAAGACGTGTTCCATGGTCTGTTCAGCATGAAGACACTGGCAGAGGCTGTCTGATTCATTTCTAAGTTACCTATGTCTGTTGGCTCTGCAAGTCCTGTGTGTAGACCAAGAACGATAACCTCGTCAGTTCTGTTGAGTCTGTAACGTCCTGTATGTGTAGACCAAGAACGATAACTCGTCAGTTCTGTTGAGTCTGCAAGTCCTGTGTGTAGACCAAAAACGATAACTTCGTCAGTTCTCTTTAGATGTTGAATGATATATTTTTTATATCCAGTGTTTTCCCTGTTTTCCCTGTGTGGGTTCCGAGGCCCTATTAATACTATTATGAGAAAAACACGAATAGATAACTGCTTACCCCAAAAAGCATGTCGTAAGAGTCGACTAATTGGGAATTTCCTTCGAAGTCGGGTACATCTGCCTGAGAGGCAACGAACCAGCAGTTTGTATACAAATAAGTCAGATCTGTCAAACGGATGTACACGCAGCACTCAGTTTCTGGAACAGGAATGCAGTCCAGAAGTGGATGAACAACCAGAACTTTCCGTCAGAGTTTACAGCTGGTGAACATGAAGAAAAAAGATATCCAATGTCTGTTTTCCAATCTGTTTCTGATTTTCTTCAAATAAGGGTTTTCACTCCTGGAAAAGACAATGGCTGGTAAATTTTTTGTCTGAGGCTATGACTAAAACATACAATTCACTAGCAAGAAGCGATAGATGAGGTGGTTTTGGCCGACTTGGCGGGAATGTCCTGATACTAACAGCCACAGAGAGCGACACTCAAGAAATATAGTGGAAACAGAGCAAGGGGGATACCACATAAAACATGGAACGACGGCCTCAACAACAACCTTTAAAAAATGAATACAGATTTATATAACACGTTAGAAAAGGCGCGCGGGCTAGCTTGACACCACCTAACACTTCGTCAAGGTAACTGGAAAAAAAAGAAGGAGGAGGAGAAGAAGAAGAAGAAGAAGAAGAAGAAGAAGAAGAAGAAGAAGAGGAGGAGGAGGAGGAAAAGGAGGAAAGGAAGAAAAAGAAGAAGACGAAGAAGAAGAAGAAGAAGAAGAAGAAGAAGAAGAAGAAGAAGAAGAAGAAGAAGAAGAAGAAGAAGAAAAAGAAGCTAATGATACAATATACATATGTGGATTTACGCTGGTACTATGGGATTGGTACACTGTGCTGACTGTCAGCTTGCTGGATCTATTGGAGAAGACTAGCATATCGAGGAGCTATGAGCGCGATTCGTAATAAAAAGAGATATAAAGCCGAACGAAAAATTTAATTAGCGAGCTTCCCCATATAACGAACACAAACAAAACGTAAATGTTTCGGCTATGGAGCTTTCTTTATGACAGGCATAGAATAGACAATACTACACAAATACGCATTATCACTTATCTTCCTATCTCGTGGCAGCCAGGTCGATGTCAAGACAATAGTCTGCATTCATTGTTTTGGAAAATATAGAAACCTTCTTTATTTGCTGTATTATATCATAATAAATATAATTGGTAGGCGGCTGCAGCTTAGGGGCTTGTGAACTCTGTTTCAGATTCCGACATACATGGGAGAGAAAAGGGCACTGAAATGAGAAACATGTGAATTAGGGAAAAAGAGGACGTCCACGCGAAATCCTAAGACGAAAGTTGCTGAGAGAGGCCAACGGCCCTGCAACAGATTCCATACATGATATTGACAAGAATGCACAGGATATTCCGGGATAGAGGATTAAACTGTGAGTCTATGTGGCGTATAACAGCACAACAGTTTGAGAAGAATGACGGGCACGGCACCGTTCAGAAGCAAGGCTCATCCACACAACAGCTTGAGAAGAATGACGGGCACGGCACCGTTCAGAAGCAAGGCTCATCCACACAACAGTTTGAGAAGAATGACGGGCACGGCACCGTTCAGAAGCAAGGCTCATCCACACAACAGCTTGAGAAGAATGACGGGCACGGCACCGTTCAGAAGCAAGGCTCATCCACACAACAGCTTGAGAAGAATGACGGGCACGGCACCGTTCAGAAGCAAGGCTCATCCACACAACAGTTTGAGAAGAATGACGGGCACGGCACCGTTCAGAAGCAAGGCTCATCCACACAACAGTTTGAGAAGAATGACGGGCACGGCACCGTTCAGAAGCAAGGCTCATCCACACAACAGTTTGAGAAGAATGACGGGCACGGCACCGTTCAGAAGCAAGGCTCATCCACACAACAGTTTGAGAAGAATGACGGGCACGGCACCGTTCAGAAGCAAGGCTCATCCACACAACAGTTTGAGAAGAATGACGGGCACGGCACCGTTCAGAAGCAAGGCTCATCCACACAACAGCTTGAGAAGAATGACGGGCACGGCACCGTTCAGAAGCAAGGCTCATCCACACAACAGCCTGTAGCTAATGGGGTTGGTTTGTTCTGTAAAGAACATGCATGCAACTTTTTATAAAAAAGTGTCAAAGGAAAATTTTACTGAGATGTTGTGCTCTTCGTCTGAGAGTTAGAAGTTACCATTTAGTAACGTGTTGAGTAGTAACTAATCGACTAGTAAGATGTTACTGAGATGTTGTGCTCTTCGCTAACGAGTTAGAAGTTACCATTTAGTAATTTGTTGACTAGTAACCAATCGACTAGTAGCTTACAGTCGGGCATTTGACAAAAACAGTTGTTTTTTCTTTATTGTTATTATATATAAACAGTCATCTCCTTGCGAGATGCAATTTTTCGTTATTTTGAAGCCCTACTCTGGCTCTTGCCAGGATCCGCAATAAAGCCCGGCCATAAATATGGTCTAATGGCTGAACGCGGTTTCTGGGACCTCTCCACGGTGATCCTCATTCACATGGTGGTACTTTGTGTCATCGGGTGTTTATAGCTTGTGTGACGTCCTATTGGGGTAAAATGTACTTCTACTACTTTATATTGCACCCCTTTCTCATATTTTCTGAGTGGTGGATGAGATTGTATACCTAGCCGGGGGGGGGGGGAGGGGGAAGGGGGGAAGGGGGCAAGAGATGTCGTGCGCTAACTGTGCACAATACAAATCTAGGGGCAACAATCTACATTGCAAACGGTAGGCCGTAAGAAGGTTACCCTGGCAACAATTGTTGGGGGGGGGGGTGTGGGGGTGTTGTTGTGGGAGGGGGGGGGGGAGCCACCTTCGGGTAAAGTTGGCTAGGAATCACAAACAGAAATTATGAATTGAAAGTAAACCTTATTTTCGTGCATACTGAGATAGAACTCTAAATAACTGCCCGTTTTTAGGTCATTTACCTCGCTCTCCGGTGGTCGTGGATTTAGTTTCCGAAACCGTTCTTTTTCTGCTGGAGACCCGGTTATAAAATCATGTCGTATGTGGTATGGGTATTACAATCACAGCAACAATTTACTGTGTTCGTAAATTGTTGCTGTGATTGTTATTCGACATTTGCTTCGTTAATATAAATTTCTGTAACCTATGGTGCCATTTCAATGGGTTGAAATGAATTCTGTCCGTATTCCATAGTCGTGGATTTCAAGCTGTACGATAGACATGGCCAATGAGACACCTTTTTTTGGGGGTGCCGAGTTGACCATGTATCTTAGTGCACTTGTATTCATGGCGAGGCGCAGACGCCGTCTGGAGGTGACAGGTTCAATTCCCGGCACGGTAACTATAGCTTTCGATTTTTATGTTGTCTAGTGTGTTCTTCTATCTTTCTACTTCTTTCTATGAGTGCCGTTCACAATACTTTCTGTTACTTGATTACTTCAAAATAGAGACAAATTGTATCTCACAAGGAGATGACAGGATACCCAAAATAGCCAGTTGGCAACATTTGCTTTTATGCTTCACGATCAACATCCCCCTCCCCACACCCCCTCCAGAATATGCCCTTGTATATGCCCTTGCGATTTTATCACCAACAGTTTTGTATGTAAATCAGTTTTCTTGCAGTGTGTTATTGTAGACTATGTAATTATTATGTCACTAGACAAAAAAATAGTTTACTGTAAATACAGAGACTGGTAACAATAACGTCACTCCAAAAACTTGCACGTATGTTATGAAACATTTGGCGCAAATCGTTTCAGGTTACGTACTTTTCCGGAAAACACGAGGTTGTTTTTAGCAAACTAGCATAGCAAGCACTGTCCACTTGGGTGTTCTGATACTTTGACAAGAATGTTACCATATGCTGCGTTTACTTTGTGTGCAGTTATCATCGTAGCAAAAAAATTATGTGTCAGAAAAATTCGAACAGTTCCAGTAAAATCGCTGTTCAGTCATCACACAAACAGGCAGACGAGGTAATCACACAAACAGACATACCATGTAATCACACAAACAGACAGACCAGGTGATCACACAAAGAGACAGACCAGGTAATCACACAAACAGGCAGACGAGGTCATCAAACAAACAGACAGACGAGGTAATCACACAAACAGACAGACGAGGTAATCACACAAACAGACAGACGAGGTGATCACACAAACAGACAGACGAGGTAATCACACAAACAGACAGACGAGGTAATCACACAAACAGGCAGACGAGGTAATCACACAAACAGACAGACGAGGTGATCACACAAACAGACAGACGAGGTAATCGCACAAACAGGCAGACGAGGTAATCACACAAACAGAAAGATGACATAATCACACAAACAAACAGACGAGGTAAACACACAAACAGACAGACGAGGTAATCCCACAAACAGGCAGACGAGGTAATCACACAGGGAGACGAGGTAATCCCACAAACAGGCAGACGAGGTAATCACACAGGCAGACGAGGTAATCCCACAAACAGGCAGACCAGGTAATCACACAGGCAGACGAGGTTATCACACAAACAGACAGACGAGGTAATCTATCAAACAGACAAGCAACTGTGTCTGATATTTTACTGACTTTCAAGCCAGAGTAGCATGAAATTTACTACTGAACATATTGCTTTACCGAAGAGTCTATCTGAAGCAGCTGTTGTGTTAAGTCAGTGAAAGCAGTCATTTCTCCCTTCCCTTTTTACTTTCTGCCTTTTATCTTGAAATGGAGCCATAAGTCTTGTATATTGTAATGGAGCCATAAGTCTTGCATCTTGTAATGGAGCCATAGGTCTTCAATAAAATCATATCCTAACAGATTTGTCCACGACTGATTGTATTTTACAAATAAAATATTCTAAAGGATGAGGGGGTCGATTTCCCAGCACCACTCTTTAACTACCTCTAACAACATGCATGCTATGTTAAGTGTTACTGATACTCAAAAAACCCCACTGGCTGAACGGTTAAGAACGTTGGGCTGGTTTTTCCTCTTTCAAGATCAAAAACAGCATGTTAACCTGCGCAGTGCGTTTAAACTGCACCATCTATGTGGTCCTAAATCCTCCTGCTCAAAGATCCCCTGTCTACATGCACAATTGGTTAACACCTGCGGTAATTTTATGTTTCTTTAAAGAGGGGAGTGACGGGGGCAGTTATTTTTATAAATATAAGCGACGATAAAATACGAATGTATCCTCATTTGTGACCGGATGTAAATGAGTTCCGAGATCTGAGCGTGCTAAAGTTCCTAAGTCGACCCAGCCACACCAGTCTGGTTAACTGGCGATTTTCATAATTTGCTATAAAACTTGCTGACGATAAGGAAAGGTAACCCCTTCATGTTTTAAAGCTTTAACATAAATTAGGTGAAGGATAAAAACTAACTAACCCTAGCCCGTGCTGTAATATCTAAGACATAAGTAAAGTAAATGACTATTTTCCACGCCTTTCATGCGTATTGGGCATATAGGGCTAGACCTATATTTTATAGACCAAAGGCACAAGATGGATAATGTGGTCAGCCTTTGATTTCCAGGACTGCACCTGGTACCCACTCAAGGCTCGGTCGACCTTGAAACCAAGAAAATCTAAGACATGGTTACCTTTATATTAGTGTATAAGTGGATTAGATTCACTTAGGTAGCGGAAAGAAGACGAAGAAGTAATAGAATTACTGAGTAGTAGTAGTAGTAAAATAATAGAAGAGGGGCCGAAGAATAAGTAATACAAGCTGGAAAACTTAATGTTAAGGTAAATTCATGAAGCTTTTATTGGGAAACTAACTCGTCGAACCCAAGACTTTGCAGGGTTTATCACTTTTACTGAATAAATGCATAAATTTACCAGGCAACTCTCGTCTAATTTTAATTTTAAAAATAAAAGTGAACGAAGAAAACAACATTTGCTAATCATATACACACGCCGCGTGTGTTCAAACTATTTACAGACGGTTAACTTACATTTCTGTCGCTGCTATCATTAAAAGTTTCAGAATTATAGACGCCATAGCTCTGTATTCCTGCTACAACTTTAGTCTTTCAAGAAAACAAGTACAAACTACAACTTGCAATTTATACAAGCCCCGTCAATGGCAGACAGTTGTGGGAATTCCCTATACCACGTCATGGCTTATCGGTTCCTGATTCGTCGTCATAGCGTCGCACACGTGTAAACGGGGTTTCCCCAACGTTCAAACAAGCTCTCTCGTTGCTGTCTTCCCAGACCTGCGTCGCGCTTTACCTGTCTCTTGTCAGCAATCAATATCATAACACTGCCATCAATCATCCAAAGCGGCAGCCATCTCAGGACTCGGGGTCCCCATGTTGACTGTATCCTGTAGAAGCTGACTGGCATCTCTTCTTTCTTTGCCCTGTACCCAGTATCTGCATGCTGCGAAAAGGGTCCTAAGCATAAGAGATCTGATGAACAACGTCCTTTCTTGTACTGTCGATTGTGTCTTGTAGGGTAACCACTGGAGCAAGAGACCAAGTAAAAAAGGCATTTTTAATATTTATTTATGGACAGTGTAAAGTAATTTTAAAAAAAAAGAGAAAGAAACAATTAAAATATTTAGGGTTCATTAAAATATATACCCACACTGAAGAGAAAAGTCGCAGGAAATGTGTAAGAGGTAGACAACGATACAAGATGGAGGACAACATCAAGAGATGGACGAAAAGCAGTATTATATGAGTGTAAAACCAAGACAAAAGATATCGAATATTGGAGATCAATTGCAGCCAATCTTCATTGCGGAGACGGCACCTTATTGATTGTCGGACAGTGTGTTCACCAACTTTGGTTACGTTGCCAGATAAGGGGAAACAATTCGTAAACATGAAAAAAAAAAATATTCTTATTATCTGTCCATGGCGTTGTCACAATTTGTCTAAAAAACTCCATCGCTAGTTTCCACAAAGTTTACACTACTTCTCTGATTGTGCATTATTCGCTTCTGTATAACAGGACTGACTTTTTATAGCGCAAAACTTAGGACAAAACTTTATCGCCTGTAATAACATAAACATTTCTGCATGGTCTCAAGGCATGGCGTCCGCCTCGAGTGCTGGAGGTCCCGGGTTCAGGCCCCGGTGAAGACTGGTATTTTTTAAAGTGTACTTCTATTCATTTCACCTGGTCTCTGAGTAGTAACATCGGTACTAAACGATTACGTCACGGGAGACGTGACCAATAAATTATAGGGTGATCAGGTTGTACTTTCTCGCGATTTATCTACAGCCAAGTTTAGGGTTAGGGTAAGGATTAGGGTTAGAAGACACTAGATGAACACTCAAAAACAGCACCACACAACAGCACACTTGCACCCCTTGAAATAATGGACTGTCAGGTCAGCTGTGGATTTCCCACGGGAATTTCGTGTTTGGGGTACGTTATAAATTAAGAACCATAACATCTTGTCTTAACACAGTCATCCCCTTGTGAGATGCAATTTTTCGTTATTTTGAAGTCCCACTCTGGCTTTTGCCATGTGCCGGTCAATATAGTCCGGTCATAAACATGGCCTAATGGCTGAACGCGGTTCTGAGACCTCTCCACGGGTGATTCTCATCCGCATGATGGCACTTTGTGTCATCGGATTGTCTGTCACTTGTGTGATGTCCTGTTGGGGTAAAATGTACAACTACTACTACTACTACTACTACTACTACTACTACTACTACTACTGCTACTACTACTACTACTACTACTACTACTACTACTACTACTACTACTACTACTACTACTACTACTACTACTACTACTACTACTACAAGTAAGATGGGACGCCTGTGGGCATTATTGCGCACGTAAAAAATCTTTCAGCAGCTGGAAATCGAAAAAATTCCGGGCAAAAATGTGTAGTTAAAAATCGACCCAAAGTATTTCAGGATCCTCGCCGGTGCTACGGAGTTCGTGCCCTGTGCTAAGATTATTCGGACTCAGACTTGAGTCAGAAGTAGAACGGAGCACTTATGGGCTACTACCCTTGTGTCATGATGTTGATCTGTTTTTTAAACCTAAACCTAAACCTATTTCTTTAAAAAAAAAAGTCTGTATTTTGTGAACGGTTGCTATTGCTGAAGCTATTGTATATTTCACCTCTTTAACACATTTCCCATAAGCTGTTACCGGGACACCTGAGTACTTAAATATATGAATTTTGTTCACACTTGGTCTATTTGCGTTTATACTGCATTTTGGAGTAAATGTTTTTCCTTGCAATTGCCATTACTTCTCACACATTTTAAATCACCTTTCTTTTTTTTTCTACTTACATGACAATCATCACCATAACGTACAGTTTCATTAGCTGGAAGATGAATGCCAGCTGGCTGCTTTCAGAGTCGAGTCAACATTGAGTGTTGAACTGAGATTGCTTGGAGGCAAAGTCCTCGGTAGATTGGCCCGTGCCGGCAAGGCCGCGGACAGACGCTAACAGCTGAAAAACAGGAGAAGAAGAAGAGGAGAACTGGCCGTGCCAAAGCACAAACGGACGCTTTGTGAATGTTGTCGCTGGGTTTGGACACAAGAAGGGACCCAATGTCCGCTCTTAAAATGAATATCACATCTGAAGAAATAAATATGTTTATCTTAGGCGTGATTCGCTATTTCACACTGTTAAAAAAGGTGTCGAATCATGTCTACGTTCTTGCCCTGCTTATGCTATGTGGCCAAGCAATCGATTTCTTGATCTCTTTGGCTCGTCGTATTCTTTTTGCTTTTAGTATGCCAGTTGTTATTAGGTTTTAAAATGTATTTATATTTATAACCTGTCTCAAAATTCTCGATTCGCGCTCTGTTCTCTTTACTTATGTTGTAGGTTTCATATTTCTTGAAAGGCGGTCTCGTTTGTTTTTCTGTCCGTTTACTGTACTATCTGTATTTTTGACAGAAACCACATTCTTGCAGCCGCGAATTAACTCGCTTGTCTCCTGAGTGTCCTTGTTTCGCTTGCATACAAGTATCAATTCATTACAGTCTTTTGAAAAACCACTGAAATAATAACCCCTCTTTTTCTTCATCCGAAGAGAGAGGGAGAGAGAGAGAGAGAGAGAGAGAGAGAGAGAGAGAGAGAGAGATCTTTCACCAAACTATAATGTTTTTCAACAGTTAAATTAATTCTTGAAAATAACATTACAGAGATTTCAGTCTACGAGGTAAAATTTCATCACAGTGAATCCTGTCTATCATAAAACACACTGTCGATTGAAATCTGTTCCTGAACTTAATTTCACCTGACCTTTATTTAGAAATGGACATCTGGACATCACAGCAAACATGGCGTACTCCCTGTTAGATCGCCTCCCGCGGTCAAGGTAGTGAGGAGCAGATATAAAAAGTTTCACTAGCGCACTAGTTAATCAGCAGGTCGTACTGCTGCTCTCACGCGTCACTCCTTGTCAGAACCTCATTAAACTCCGCCCACATAAACAATGTGTTGCCGCATATTGCGTTTTCAGGCAGCACTGTCACCTTAAAAAAAACAACAACATATTAACCAAATATTAATGTCACCAATTTTAACTATTTCAGTAAAGGACCCATTTTTCACGCCTTCAGGTGTATTAGGCACATATTTTTTTTTTTTATGTTACAGGACTCTTTTCCATACCTCCAGACGTATTGTACATATAGGGCTCATCATCATCGTCATGTGCCTTGCCGACTGCTTGGACGATCATGCCAATTTACAATCTCCGATCTCCTGCAGCATGTATCAGTTCGTGTGTTGAGACACCTCCATGCCATCCAACAAGACTGTCATGAATCGTCTCTCAGTGTCTTCTTCTGTCAATCATTCCACAGATCTTTTCAGTAATCACAACATGTTTTATTTTCCCTCTTCTCATAACATGGCCCAAAAATGATGACTGTCTCCTTCGGATGTCTGTGATAAGTTGTCTTCAAACTCCCGCCTCTTTTAAAACCTCTTGGTCGCTCCGTTTGGCTGTCCAATGTATTTTAAGCTTTCTTCTTTAAAACCACATCTCTAAGGCCTCAATAAATTGTTTGGCCTGCCTACCAATTGTCCAGGACTCACAGTCATATGTTCAAACTGAATGTATGTAGGGCTAGACTTCTATTTTACGGTCAACATCACGCTGAACGCCTTTAATTCTGTGGTACCAGCTGAAGGCCTTGCCGACCTGGGAGCCAAGGTCATTTTGAAAAAGCCCGGCTCCGTCAGGGGCCAAAATCACACGACCTTCAGTTCCGCACGCGAGAATCGATCCCATGGCTATTCAACTGGCGGGAGGCGGACCAAATTTGGCCCGCGGATCCCTAACAAGTGGCTTGCGGATCATTGCCAGTTATAGTGTATTATTGATCTTTCGATGCTGGGGCTAGGACTTCTGGTCCGTGACGATCCCCATTTTCAAAATGTTGGCCCCTCTTCTTCTTTTTTTGTTGTCTCACTGATACCAGGTTGTAGCCCAGTGTCGTTGTTTTGTTGCCTCACTGATACCAGGTTGTAGCCAAGTGTCGTTGTTTGGTTGCCTCACTGATACCAGGTTGTAGCTAAGTGTCGTGGTTTTGTTGCTTCACTGGGACCAGGTTGTAGCCAAGTGTTGTGGTTTTGTCGCTTCATCGATAACAGGTTGTAGCCCAGTGTCGTGGTTTTGTCGCCTCACTGATACCAGGTTGTAGCCAAGTGTCGTTGTTTTGTTGCCTCACTGGTACCAGGTTGTAGCCCAGTGTCGTGGTTTTGTCACCTCACTTATATCAGATTGTAACCCAGTGTCGTGGTTTTCTGTATTTGTCTTTTCAGGTGGCCTGAGTGATGGATTTGTTCAACCTTTTGCAGGTTTTATCCACAATTCAATGTTCCTTGAGTAGTAGCAGTCAAATGTACCACTGCGGCCTTGCTAGGTCCGTCGCGTGGCGAGCAGGAATAAAATCTGACCTGGTTGATGCCCCTCTCCTTCCAGGCGAATTGTCGCCTTTCTAGGATCTGTCCCTGGGTGATCCTTATCCGAACGGTGGCACCTTGTGTTATTGGGTGTTTATCGCTCAGTGTGATATCCTGGTGGGGTTGACCGTCTGTCACTCATAAAAATCCACCTACAAACAACCACGTATTGGAATACGGGACGCCATTTTTTTTAAATCTGAGAGCCCCAGTCAGGCTGTAATCGAAAGCGCTAATATAACCTAACGGTTGAACGAGGTTTCTATGACTTGTACCCGGGTTATTCTCATCCGAAAGATGGCACTTTGTATCACCGGGAGTTTATCGTTTGTTATGCGGTTCTGGTGGGTTTAACGTTACACTCTTTAAAAAAAATGCGGTTAAAACTTCAAAAATAGAAAATTGTCTTGTTTTATAAAAATCTAGGAATTAGCTCTAGAATAGAACATAAACTTACGGTTATATCTGTAGACTTTATTAGAATTAAATATTTTAGATACATTTGCCTGAAATGTGCTGATAATTTTTACTGTAGAATGTGTATGAGTGCCTGTGTGTGCGTATGTGTGTGTGTATGAGAGAGACAGAGAGAGAGTGGATGAGTGAGAGAGTGGATGAGTGAGAGAGAGAGAGGAAAGAGAGAGAGAGAGAGAGAGAGAGAGAGCAGCAGCACAGCCCAACATGATGTAATTCTAACGGACTCACGGAGCGTGTTTCGGATAATTGAACTGGCTTCATGCACGCAGAGTGGGTTGTATCACTTTATAAGATCAAGACCAGAAGCATATCGTGGATTTTCTGTCCAGGATGTTCAGGTGTGCGAGGTTATGAGCCAGCTGATACTTTAGTGGAATATCACGTTTTCATATTTCAAGATTTTAGTGGGATGTCCCGTTTTCTGCGCAATATATCGGTTAGATGTCACGTTTTCTGCTCTAAACATTAGTATGATATCCCGTTTTTAGTTCAAGATATTATGGTCACCATAGTCATGGAGCATTTCACAATCACCTAAGAAGACTATCGGTGTTTTTTACTTTACGATTACACTTTTTTAAGAACACCGTCAACCACTGACGTTCTATTAGTAAAGTAATGGATCTTTATCCACCCCCTTTCAGTCGTATTGGGTATATAGGGCTAGGCGTATATTTTATAGACCAAACGGTACTTGGTGGGTGATATGGATAGCATCACGCCGGCCGCCGCTGCTTCCCAGGACTGCACCTGGTACCCATTCCAGACTGAGTCACCAGGAAGCCAAGGTTATAAAAAAAAAAGTATGGTCCCGTTAGGAACCGAACCCACAACCTTCCGATCTGCAGGCGAGCGTCTAGCCGCTAGACCACGGAGGCTCCCAGTGACGTTCTTCTATATTTAAAATATCAAAATATCACAGAAAATGGCTCATAAACACTTTAATGACTCAGAAACAGAAACAAGCCGACGACTGAAACGCTGCAAGCGTTCGAACAGAACAACAAAAGACAGCGTAGTTACTGGGGAAAAAAAGGTCAGATACTTGCATGAGGATCCGATGGTCGTGCATTCGAATCCGGAAAGCTGGATTTTTCCAAGAATGACCTTGGCTCCGAGGGTCGAATCAGTCGAGTGGGGACCGGGTTAAGTCCTAGGAAGTAAAAGCGGCCGGCATAATGTTGAACACACCATCCACCGCGTGAGACTGGTCTAACGAATGTAGATCTAGAACTATATGTCCAATTCGCTTGAAGACTTGGAAAGGGGTCCTAATAGAAACTAAGTGTAGTTCACAATCTACCAGAAGTCAGTTCAAAGTACTTTCGCTGATGCCTTTTCTCGGTAACTATCTTTAACCAAGCTCGTCTTCACTTGCTTCAGCTTAGCGTATGTGCCGTCAAAGTTTGTGTCCCTTTGCTGAGTTCAGGTTGTGTGCGCAAAGACCCGCCCCGACATACCACGTGACGCGTGATCTACTCTAAGCAAGGCCTGCGAATTAGCGTTAGACTGCCTGACGACCGACCACGCGAAAAAGCGGCTCTGTCTTCTTACAGAAATCTTTTCCGCGCCCAGTTGGGTACAGGCAGGAACTGCTTAGGCGAGTGCCTTTATTTTCCCGCTCTTTTTTGCAAACGCTTACAAGTTATATTATTTTTGATCCCGCAGTCTGCACGAATGCAGACATGCGTATTAACAACCAACTAAAGGAGAACTGGACTACATGTTACTTCTTAACCGTCTTGTGGTGCCTCTATATAACTGTGCTGTATGGCTATAGGGTTGCACGGGGTTTCAGGGAATTATATTTGTTGTATGTTTCTATTTGATTCTTGTCCATGGGCTGTTAATCGTACAGACTGCAGTCCTAGATAGGGTGACCATAATATCACGATCTGAAAATTGGACATCCCATACAAGTTAGTCCCCCCCCCTCCTCCTCCCTTTCCACACACCGAGCAAGACCATAAAGTAATGGCACAGAGCAAGAAAGTAATGCCAAAGAGCAAGAAAGTAATGGCACAGAGCAAGAAAGTAATGCCACAGGAGCAGAAAGTAATGCCACAGAGCAAGAAAGTAATGACACAGAGCAAGAAAGTAATGCCACAGGAGCAGAAAGTAATGCCACAGAGCAAGAAAGTAATGGCACAGAGCAAGAAAGTAATG